GTTGGACGACCACGTTTTTTTGTTAGATTTCGGTTAAAAAAGGACACAGTTTTGTCGATCTTGGTTAAAATTGAGACGAATTTATACTGTATTAGATTATAGATTATATTATTATTTTTTTTTTAATTACTAAATTATTATTTCTTTTCTATAACATTTTTATATTCGTTTGCCAAATCCGTTCTTTTCTGCTGTACTAAAATTTGATGATCTTTTCTTTCTCTTGCTTATCCATCACCACAATTATAAGCTTAATTTATTTTTGACGTTATATTTTAATTTTATTGTCATTTACTTTCACCAAGCAACCAAACTTGTGCTCACATTTTTTTGACAATATCTAATAGGTAAACCCTTAACCAGTACTTCAATCTGGTGGGTATCCAAATGTCATATTTATCTATAAGATTATCCTAAACTAGGGAGGGATAAACGATTCGTCGACGTTATCTATCAGCTACAATTTTAATTGACAGATAATTCGTCTTAACTAGATATTGATAAATCGGCCCTAAGTCGAATAATTTTCCTAAGCTCAAACGTTTGACTAGGTTTCATATGTGCTTTTATCTCTATAAGTCGAATTTACCAAAGAATAAATTATTCGAATCCGTTTTGTAAGTAATTTTAACTACAAAATCAAACCACATAAACACAGACTCAGAAACTATAGACTCTTGAACGAAAACAAACCTAATGGTTTTATTGTTTCTGAATCAGATGAGGGTGATGATAATCTTGAAAATGAAATACTTATTGCTGTGCCTACATTTGATGAAGCTTATTCCTATCTTAAAAAGCTTGAAACCTTTGTATTATCAAGAGAGAATGTTCCAGATTATATTAAGGTTTCTGTTTTAAATATACGTATTAAAAAAGTACATTTCTAATGTTTTTCTTTAGAGCTGAAATTCTCCTAATTTTTCTCTAACTCGAATTCTCCATAACACGAAGTTTTCTTCCGCTTCCTTAGTGATTCGAGTTAGGGGAATTTCACTGTATATGCTTTCTGTTGACAACTTTTCCTCCATCACCACTATTTCGTGATCTGTCAAAGATAAACATTGGAGTCTCAGACCAAATAACTATCCTTTGATACGACTGCAAATATGACGTAACGATAATATGTGTCAAATGGGACGACAATGCTATAGTGACCCTACCACTATGTTCTAACACCTCTTCGGAAGGTTATCTTTTAGCAGAACACACCTCTTCTAGAAGGGTAAAAACAGAAAATAAAAAAGACTTGATACAACCAAATTTGATAAAGAGATATACTGATGGGTGGGGTTGATCTCTTAGATCATCTTTGCTCCAGTTAACTCCTTTGCTCCAGATAAAAGTAAACACTACACAACGAAGAAGACCTACAGCACCAGTGACATAAGACGTAATGGAATCAACCACATAGTATCCGCCTGTTCTCAAGAAAAATATAGTATTAGATGATTTTGAGGCTTAAAGTTTACATAAATTCTTTTTCTTTTATTCAAAAATTAGTCCTATTATCTATAAAACACGGGAAACACTTCTCGAAGTACCAGCCTGTTATAGTGAACATTTTGAACAATGTCACTAGGTTGAAGGATCAAGGCCATGTGGTAAAACTTGTATGGGTGAAGGCTCACGCTGGTTTTGTCCATAATGAGCGTGTAGATAAGCTAGCTAAGGCGGCCTGCAGGTCGGCAAGCTGGTTAAAACCGAACTTTTTTCTTCTGAGGTCTTATCTATCTGCAGGGAGAAACTTGTAAAGGAGGACTGGTGCAGGCACTGGAATCAAACATATCAACACAGGCAGACTCAGTACATTCGAGTTAATGCTCGTATACTTTACCATCAATGGTATAATGGGCGTGACGTTTCTAAAAATTTCTTTTCAATTGTTGTCAGGTTAAAATTAATATTTTACAGTCTCCCAATTGCTCGTGTGGGTTTGAGACGGGTAATTTGAATCGTATATTATTCAACTGCGATAAATACGAATCATATCGGCCGGAATTCATCAGTTCTTTGCTATCTCATGGTTTCTCCTTGCCACTTGACGTTGCAACAAATTTAAGCAGAAATTGTTTTGAGATTTTAAAAATTATTTTTGTTTTCATGAGGAAGAGTTCCATTATTATTTGATATCTTTTAGTTAAATTACTTTTTGTGAATGTTGAACGTTGATTAGTTGTTTTATGGGCTAGTATCCCACAGAGCCATAAAAAAGAAAGTCTTTTGATGTACAAATGACCATAACGCATATTTTGAAGCAACGGAAGGTCTGTAGAAAATGACACTTTTTTTTGTAAAAATCATATTTAGTCAAACTTCTAGGAGTAATAACATTCTACTATCCGTGCAAAAAGTCAAGGCCCCTCACTTTAGAGATCTATATCTTCGCAACCATTCGATAAAAAAAATTACGACAAAGTTTGTTGTAATCACTGAACATTTCTACGTAACATATGCTAATTTCAAAATTTTCGGATACACGGTTTTCTTTTTATCACGAGTTAAATGAAAAAAGTACCCGATTTTTGAGAGTTCGGCAACTTTTCAACTTTGCGATTTTTTTTCTCGAAAGCTATCGTACGAAAGAATTTTAATTTTGAACAGGTGGTAGCCTGATGTGTTCTTAATGAGTGACATATTTTATTTTTTCGATATTCTATACAGTTTCACGGAAAATCGCGGTTTAGTAAGACGCCGTTATGTCGAAAACGGCTGGGTGGATTTCCTCGCGGATTTGCCCAAAATATATCAAACAATGTCGGTGCCGGATTCCGTTATTAGTTTATCAAAATTAGAGCTCCCTAACATTTGAAGAGCGATTTAATGGAATTACAAATTAAAAAGAAACAGAAATAAGCTCTGCGGGGTGCCGTGGGTTCCGTCCAATCGGAACAGATGGTGCGTCCTATACAGGACGTCGCACCTTATTTCTTTATGTAGGTAAGATGCAGGCGCGACGTACTGCCTGGGACATACCATCTGTTCCGATTGGACGGAACCCTTCTCTCCCCGCAGAACTTACTTCTGTTTCTCTTTAATTTGTAATTCCATTAAATCGCTCATAAAAAATTAGGGAGCTCTAATTTTGAAAAACTGATAACGGAATCCGACAACCGACATGATTTGACATATTTTGGTAAAAACCGCGTTGAAATCCGAAAGGTCGTTTTCGAAATAACCGCATCCTACTAAACCGCGATTATCCGCGAAATATATATATAAGATACTTCGATACAACAAATGACAATCTATTTGACAACATCTGATGGGTAATCGTGCCAACGTAGATCTTTTTTGAATGAATGTTGGCTGAGATATGGGGTTTTAAAGAGCATGTTGAAATTTACCAAAAAACGCTTAAAACCAAAATAACTCGAAAACGAAAAACGCTAGGTACCAATAACTTTTATCAAAGTCAACCTATTTTTTTACGTACAATTAAACGGTGTAATAAAAACTATAGCATTCCATTTAAAATAGCGAAGTTATGGTCTACTACCGGTAGACCGGAAGTGGCGGCCATCTTGAAAATATTTTAGATCGAAAGTTCCGAATGAAGAACCCATNTTTTACGTACAATTAAACGGTGTAATAAAAACTATAGCATTCCATTTAAAATAGCGAAGTTATGGTCTACTACCGGTAGACCGGAAGTGGCGGCCATCTTGAAAATATTTTAGATCGAAAGTTCCGAATGAACAACCCATGCTACCAAAATTTCAAATCTCTACGAATAGTGGAACCTGAAAAAGTTCTAACGAACCAGTTACGTGAGACACCTGTATACAAAATTCCTTAGTTTATTGTTAAAAATAATGTTTTTTAAAGTTTTTTTTGAAATCGAAAAATCCTCGATGGATTTTATTCATTTTTTGGTCATGCATTTGTATCAGTAGATTACAGCTATTTGTGGAATAAACTCTAATTTCGAAAATTATAGGGTGTTTAAAAACTTTGTAACAATAAAATATGCAACCATATCTTTTTAACCCCCTGTACAAACAATACCATTTTCTGAATAGTTACTTTAATTTAGAAACTATTTTCTCTCTTACAAAATTTCAGTTGGGTGAACGGTTTAGCCACAAAAAAAATGTTTTGTAAATCCCTACAAGCGCGAATGTGTGATGCAAGGTACAGTTAGCTAGGTATAATTAATTTTAAAAACAAAAACAATTTGTCACTTAAATTTGACAGCAGTATTCGTATTTTTCGTTTTGCGTTTTATCTTTGATACTAAACTAAGCAATTTTGAATATAGATAAGTTTAGTTAAATCATCATATTTTTGGTCAAGGTAGTACTTGTGGCCTTCCGTCGTACACGTCATTTCTGAACTCCCTGTATAGCAAAAATAGTGCGCCTTAGATTTGAACGAATACGGTAACTTTGAAATATGTTATTTTCATTTCTTTTTCGATAAATTTAAAAAAATATGGATTTTAACATACATAAATGCATTTTCTGCGATTCATGAAAGTGACAAGCTGGAAATTCATATCTGATCGCTTGTCCTTTGTTGTCGTATGTTATAGTTGTTTTGTATTGGCATTGTATTCTCCCTCTCTGAGTGCGACACTATTTTTATCATCTCATTCGGAGCAGATTGTTAGGAAATAAGATTTTATTTTCCGAAAAATCGATTCTCTTACAAAAAAAAAATCAATTCAGTTTTTAATTAAAAAACTTTACGAAGTAATATATTGAAAATATAGGTTAAAGCAGTTTTAAACTCAATATATCGTTCCATACGTGTTTGATTTTTTTTTAACTTGATTTATAATGTTGAAGCCATTACCCAAAAACAATTTGTAACAAAGTTAAATGTTAAATAAAACCTGTCATTAACTGAAATTGACATTCATTTGCTAAATAATTTCGAAATATATTTGCTGTTTAATGAAACAACACAAATAATTTATGTAATCAGATAAAATTAGTTGTGTATTTGTAACAAATAAAACCATAATGAATTAATATTTGGGTGAAATAATAAGTCAATTAAAATTTAAAAAAAAATGTAATCAATAACAAGTACATTCAAGATTAACATTTTTCTTATGGGTGTTAATATGTTTCCTTAAAGAAGCATTAAGTGTAAAAGCTTCACCACAAGTATCACAAATGTAAGGCTTCTCACCAGTGTGAGTTCTTCTATGAGCAAGTAAATGAGTTTTTTGCGCAAATTTTCGTTTACAAAATTCACATTCATGTTGTTTTATACCAAGATGCATTCTCATGTGGCGTTGTAACCCATTTGAGTACAAAATTTTCTTTCCACATATTGTACATAACACTGGAGAATGTTTAACTTTTTCACCAGGTGCTCTTTCATGAATTTTAAAGTGCCTTCTTAATGAAGTAACTCTCAAGAACGTTTTATCACATAAAATGCATTTATATTTTTTATCTCCTAAATGGGAAGTGATGTGATCATGCAAATGCCAAGATTGTTTAAATATTTTTTTGCAATAATGGCATTGGTAGTGTTTATTTGTGTTATTAATTATTTTATTGTGAGTCTTGTTATGATTGTGAGTTTCTTTTAAATGGTTTGATAATAATTTTTGATTTTTAAATTTTATGTTACATATTTTACAAAAAAAATTATTTTTATCTACTTTAGGTGTTTTTTTGTTGCAATTCACCAAATCGGGTGTAATAACATCAATTTCTTGGTCTAAATCGCTACAAACTTCTTCGTTTGTATGTTCATTACAAATTTTTAGATACTCCTGTGAACTTATAACCATATTAATAAACTTATGAGAACTCCTCAACAATAGCAGACAATTTTGACATATAAACCAATCTTCGTAACTTTCCTTAAATAAGAAAAAATAGAAAAAAAGCTTTATATTATATAAGTATTGTATACCAAAGTTGTTGGGACACAATAAATCATTTTTTCTTTAATACTAACTCCATCCTCGTCGTTTTCAAATAAATTTTTTACTTCTAAATTTTCTTTTAAACATATATAACAAACGTTTTCATCTAATTTTCCCATATTTAATGAAATTAAACCAATATTGCAATAAAATAACCTAACTTTTATGTCAAACTGACAACGTAAACAATAATTTTAGGTTATGTATTATGTTATTATTGACGTTTCGAAGATGGCGCTAGTTGTTTATTGGCGGTTTAAATTCAAATTTAAATTTAAATTTGATCTATCCAAGTATTAAAAAGCTAATAAATAACCTTTTAAAATAATTTCAATGTAACCGTAATGGTTTTTTGATAAAAAATAATTCATATATGTAGCGTGGAAAAGAAAATCATTTTTGCATATAAAGTGAGTATTAAAATTGCGCCTGGGAATTCGGTCAATCTCAAGAGGTTTGAACAACGTATATCCCAAAGTGAGAAAGGAAACCTGGAAAATACGCTGAACCCACCGTTGCAGATCTAATAAGTTTTCTGAAGTTTCGAGTTCAAAGACATTGAATACGGAAGTTTCATTTCAGCTCGATCCAAAAGTGATTATTAAAATATTTAAGAAGTGATGAAAAAATATTTGCAATAAAGTTTTTTGTTACTAACTGTTATTGTAACCTGGCTTTGATATGTTAAAACGTGGAGTCACTTAGCAAATTAAAATGATTAATAAAATAATTAAACACCATGTGATTTGTTGTTATATTTTTATTACTATTATCTGAGTCTATTTATAATACCATCTTACTATTTATAACAAGTGCGAGGACACCTTATCATCCTTTACGTTTTATTTCTGTATTCTCAAGGTGTGAGAAATCTTTTATAAAAAAAATAGCTAAAGTTATCTAATGTCCAAAGTGTTTTGAAAAGTGATTTTTGTTAATTGCCTTTGTCTATTGCACTTTACCTAGCCGAGGAAACGGGGTTTGGATTAAAATAATAAATCTGCCTTCCAGGTAAATTTGCGATTAAACTGTTATGTTGAGAGTGAAAATTAAGGATAACGTGGAAACGTTCAGAATTAATTTTCCTGTGCGTTGCAGTATCTCGATCTAATTAACCCACTATGTGTATTCGAAATCTCAATTAAAATCTAAAACTAAACGTTTATATAAACCAATTAACTTTAACATTCAATAATTTAATCACAAAATGTTATGTTGTAACTTCGATTTACATGTGAACGTTTCACCACAATTAAATGTGAACACTTTAAAGGCTTTGAAACTGAATTATATTGAACAATCATGATCATAAAGTATTACTTTAATAAGCAAAGTTCTTGAAAATTAATCTTTTAATTCTACAGTGTCCAAATATTTTTTTCAACTTTATGAGTCACTTGACTAGATATATTTTCCTGGATAATTCTGACGGTACTTGAATGAATGTGTTTATTTCTAAACTATTATCTTCATGTTATGAATGTTATCTTCGTTATATGTATAGCTGCAATGACACAGTACACATTGCAAGTTTATTAATAAGAATTGTGAAAAACATGTTTCCTGTGTAATTCATTTCTCGTTCCGATTGATGCGACCGGATCTGTCATTTTTTTGTGAGAATACTAAATGAAACATTCGAAACTGCAACTATAAGTATTGATGTGAATTATAAGCGATTGCTAGTAAAGACGAGGAAACTGATTTCAAAAGGATGGCTTTAGGATTGGTTTTGGCAACAGTTTTATAGTCCGTGTGTTACTCTTAATTTAGGTGGCAGAAATGAACATTCTACTAGACCAAAATATAGTTGAGGTAAAAACGGACTTATAGAGCAAAATTTAGTTATCCAACTACCACTTAGATTTGTGACCCATGAGCCAATACACATAGCTTCGTTTAAGTCCTACTGATTTCCACAGCTTGTCTAACAATAAATAAGGTTACTAAAGACGGATAATCAATCAATATGAGATGCTATGATTATTAAATCGTTAGCGTAAAAAAATGTATAATTTAGTTGTCACTCGCTTTCTTCTGGAAGTTGTTTCAATAGGCTGTGATGTGATGTAGATGAAGTGAGAGATGGTACATAAAATCTTGCCTGGGACTGAAAAGTACGGCATACAAATCCCATCGATCGTACTACACAGCTCTAAATAGCTCCTTAGATACATATGTCTTCAAGTATTCTGTGGTGTCCCAAACCTCACATGTAACGTCAATAATTTTACAGTAACGATGATGTAGTTTAGACAATAGCGATATTTGTTTTAACAAAAATAATAATTTGAAATAATGTCCCTCTCCAACGAAAAAGAATAATACAGACTTTAAACTTTATGCGATGAAGTTATTGATGAAGAAGAACAATAGAATCAAGAACCGAAGATGGAATCGACACGCATCACGATACATCCAATGAAAGGAAGAATAATGAGATTAAACAGAAAAATTGAAACTCATTTGCTGAATGTGAAGCAATAAGTAAAGCGTGCAAAACGTGTTGTGGATAGAAAACTTGGTGCAATGAATTAATATTGAAATTCAGGAGAAATCCATTAACTATAAAAAAATCTATGAATTCTTAATTTAGCAGGAATATTTTGTTTCAATCAGCAGAATTTGAGAGTCTTGAAAAAATGAGGAGTGGATATCTTTCGTAGCACGATGTCAATAAATCGATTTCAACTTTTGTTAGTTTGTCTTCACTTTGAAAATGACAAAACCGTACTGGGTATTAGTAATCGATAAATTGGCTACACTACGTGGAATGCTGAAGTGATCTATCAGTTACTATTATTAAGACACTAATATAATTCATATCTAATACTAATCGGAATATAACTTTCCATAACTGATACACAAGTATTGATGATGAAACTGCTAAAAGACCATAAATTATCGGTAGGCACGGTTAGAAAAGAAAAGCGTTACACTTCAATACAGTTCGAAATGACAAGTTTATTTGGTTGTCAAAAAGTCATAACACTTTTATTATACAGGGTGATTTATTAGCACACCATCAAACTTTGACATATGATAACTAATCCAATTGCCAAAAAAATGCAACCTTTTTTTTTAAACACAAATATTACAATTATTGTTCAAAATAACCTCCTTCTGCTAGAAACATGCTCCAAAACGACGAATTAAATAGTTCTTCAGCCGAATAAAAATGTCTGGTTGATTTCTTATTTCAGTAGCAGCCATTTGTATTCTGTTTAATAACTGCTCTCGTGTGTTAATTTCCACTTGATACACAATTTGTTTCATTCATTAACATTTTTTTTTGCTAATTGGATTAGCTATCATATGTCAAAGTTTGATGGTGAGCTAATAAATCGGCCTGTATAGGTCAAAAAAAAACAAAAACATATATTATTGATGTCTACGCTGTATCACGATAGCGCAATAGATACTGTAACCGAAGATAAAAGATTGTTCCAAATTACAACGTTCTAAAACATTTCTGAACGCGAAGCAGACGTGGTGCATGAAGTTTTGGTGTTATACAACGTACTTAGAAATAAAAGATGACCTCTCAGAATTATATTTAGTATCATGAACACTGCTGCCATTAATGATATATCTGAGAAAATGATATACATAACAAACAAACAAAACTATAAAATGAAGAGAACATTTTAATATATTTTAAATAACAATACATTTTAATATTTGGTATAGTGTAATAGTGTAATACCGGCATAAGAAAGAATATGCGAAGGTGAATGAGAGACACCGCAAAAATATTGCTAATTCTACGCAAGATAATCTTACAGGGTGAAATGAAAGATCTCAAATGTTGCTAAAAGTACTCTACAGGTAATATACGTAAGCGACAAAGTACATACATGAATGGCATTAAGGATCCGAGATACACAATTCTTCCTTGTACAAAAGTTGTAGGAAATTTGGATCACGTCAACGCTTACCACCTGTGAAATTACAAACAATTATGGTGACATCACTTGAATGCATATATTTCATGGCCTACTAATAAAAAAAAATAAAAAAAACCTGCCATTCTTTGCATGGTTTTGATTCATCCCACTCTATCTCAAGACCTGTAACAGATAGGTATAGCGACATGTACTGAAGATTTGTAGAGAATTAAATTCTCTATCTGATTAACTAGTCAAACATGGAGCGTTCCATTTAAAATTTTCGACTTTTTTGCAATTGAATATGGTAAAACAGTTACATTTTTGAACATCCTGTATAAGATAGACCGATGTAGCCAATGGCGCTCTATTTAAAGATATCCAAGCGGCAACTATCACAAATTGTAACTTTCTAGCCCGATCAGTAGCGAAGAAATTCAGATTTGAAGGGCACAATGTTAATTGCTAAAAAAAGCTTCTAATTCAAATAACTCAAAAACTAAAAGCACTAGGTATCAGCATGTATTATCAAAGTCAACTTAGTTTTGTGTGTAGAATCAGAATACGCAATAAAAACTATATCATTCCATTTAAAATAACATATGTTTATTTCAGTACGTCGTTATGGAACACCGTGTATGTTTAATAATATTTTCTTACGTGGAACATCCTGTATGTATAAGGCGCCGCAAGCGTAATACCAAATGTTTTTGCACGCATTACTAGGAATTATTGTATCTAGACCATGCTGTGATTTGCTCCCAAAATTGTCTAAATTTAGATAGAAAATAATATTTTGGGTTGTGAACTTGTTTTATTTTTTTTTTTTTTCATCATATTTCTTTATGATTACATATTTGATTTTCGTTACGTTGTGTCTTCTGATTTATGAAAAATAACTACAAATGGTGTAATATTTACTGTTTTGAAATAAAATCGTGACTTAATTTTTTTATACTTATATGACAATTAGATGATTAGATAAGACAATTACACACATGTACTAGCCAGAAAATTATTCATCTGTGTATCACGGGATTAAACATTGTTAGAGATGCTGAATTGTGGGGACGTTGTTCGTCACAAACTATTTCTGTAACTATTAGAGCTTCATAGAAAATAACTCAAAGTGATCTTTTA